GAACCTCACTAGATCCGGCTGCCTTTGGATCCCTTGCCAGGACTTACTCCAAGTCCGTGCCTCTTGAGACACCCTGAGCTTTATGGGCCAGATGCGTGGCTCCAAAAATGCCCCTTTATCATGCCCCACGCCTCGTAGGTGGTATTCAAACATTGTCCCTCTGAGGCCTTAGTCTAGCTTGGCTTCCTGTCGTCACTGGGCCCTTGGCGCCTGTCTACCTGCCTTTGGATCCCTTGCCAGGACTTACTCCAAGTCCGTGCCTCTTGAGACACCCTGAGCTTTATGGGCCAGATGCGTGGCTCCAAAAATGCCCCTTTATCATGCCCCACGCCTCGTAGGTGGTATTCAAACATTGTCCCTCTGAGGCCTTAGTCTAGCTTGGCTTCCTGTCGTCACTGGGCCCTTGGCGCCTGTCTACATGCCTTCCCTGGAACTGGGCTCTGTGCAGGTCTGTCTGCACCCTAGACGAACACCTTGCTGGGGTCGTTTGACCCCAGTGCTTTCTCCTGACATGGCAGGGGGTCGGACTTGAAGATCTGCTCAGGTCCCTTCCAACCCTACCAACTATGAACTATGGTGCTGGGCTCTTTGCAGCCCTGTTGCTGCGCTCTCTGGCGCTGGGGTCTTCTCACCTCCTGTCACTGCGCCCTCTGGCATTGGGGGTCTGTATGGTAGTGTGCCCCTAGTGAGGCCTCCTCCTCCTCAGTAGTCTCATCCCGGTCCACCAGATTAAACAACAACAGAAATATGAGCCCCTGGGCTATAACCCAACAATAATAATACCAATGACACTGGAGGCTACACTGCACCTTTAAGAGGGCCAGTTTCTCCCTCAGCAATGTGTGACTCCTATCCCCAGGTACTTTAGAAGCTCCTACAGCCCGTTAGTCTTACCCACAGCCGGACAGGCAGCCAAGCATCTCTGTGGAGGTTTTATGTACGAACTCCTTCCCCTCTGGCTCCTGCCAGAGAACTGACCGCCTCTAGCCCCAGCCTTGGGGCTTTTATGTGCCCAGGGCCCTATCTTCTCCCGGTCAGCTGACTGGGTGCAGGCTAATTCCCTCATTAACCTTCCAGTTCCTGGATGAAAATTCTAGCCACTCTGCTACTGGGCACAATGCAGCGACTACCAACTTGGAGTGGAATTCAAAGCTGCTGATGCAAGTTAAGCATAGTCAAACTATACCTGGCAGTGAAGATGTCCTCCAAGATGCCTTCCAGCCACAAACTGAATAAATAACCCCTCCTAAAGCCCATGTAATTGCCATGGAATCAATTTCAATCTGAAACTTAACTATTTATGATGATTAATTTCTGTAGTTTTTGCTGCTCTTAAATGTTCATATTTTTTAATAAAGAAGAGAAGTCTCTATATCCCTTATGAAATGATTTCCACCAAAATATGAAAAATACAAGAAAAGTTCTTCAGAACAGTTTTACATAGTAAACATTTTTGCATGTAACCCAACATTTTTTTCCCAGCAGTCATCATATCATACTCTATTTGCAACTTCATATTCTATTGGGAGACAATTCAGGAGAAAATTGATTGAATGGCAAAGTAGGTCACAATATATTTTAAAGGCATAGCTAATTTGGTGATGGTTAAACAAACATTTAAAGTAGTTCAGCAGTTTATTTAATACTACGTAGTTTATAGACATGCTTTACAAAAAATATTGAGTAAACTGTTTTGTACTGTTCTGCACAGGAAGATGTACAGAATGAGTATCATACCGGATATCTAGTGTTGTGCTGCATATCTGTGTTCACGTTAACTACAAGAAAAAGCTGTCTTACAAACAGCTTAACTTGTGACAAGTTGAGCTATTCAGAAGTTATGTACAATAATAATTTATAATAACTCACTATTTAAATCAATATGGTTATCATGATGCGAAAGAGATATTCACCAGATAAAAACTATAGCCCACATTTTGACATACTTCATTATGAAGTCTGAAAAGGGCTTGTTTGTTTCAGTATTTTTCCAGCTGTGAATGTAATGTATCCCCCTACACAATTCTCCTTTTAGATCTGTGAGCTCCCTCAGCCAACGACACTTCCTATCTATTACTTGTGCATACAGAAATTACTTTGCTGCTAACCGTCACGTTGGGAAACACTTGTGTGGTCCATCTGTGCTCTGGCTGCTATTATGGCTTTTCTTACAGAAAAATATTAAGATTTTTTTTTTTTTTTTTTTTTTTTTTTTTTAACACCAGAGTGTAGTACATGGTGGAGGAGAATACACTTTAAAACAGACTGGGCCAAATTCTTTCCTTATTTCATCAGTGCAAACCCAAAATAACTACACTAAAATAAGTGGAATTACTTTGGATTTAGGCTAGTATAATTGAAAGCAAAATTTGGGTTTCTCTACTTATTCTTACCAGTCAGTTTGAGTACTTTTCCATTTCATTCATAGATCTGTAACTTATCCTTCTAGCCATGGTTCTATGAACCTGATACTATGCCCTCACTTCATATTTCTTCAGTTGTCAAATTTTCACCAGAACACAGGTGACAATACAATTAAGAGAGTCTGTGTACTCTTAGCATTTTCTAATCACTATTATAGTTTTGTAAGCAATACATTGCAGTGTTTCACATAGAATTGTTATAATGATGTACCAGGCTAGACAGTAAGATTATGAATACTGATAATAATATCAATCTAACAAAATGTGATTAAGAACCAATTTATAAGGGTTGTTCTTTGGAAGGAAAGGGAGGAGGAGGCAGTACGTTCTGCAAAAGGAAATAATCTCCATATTGGTTATGTTCCCCAAGTTTTATTTTGTTGCTATCCTCATCTACTAGACTTGTCATTTCAGAGTAACCTATGACTCGTGTTCATGCTTCTCACGTGTGTAGACGAAACGGGGGCCCTAAACTGAAACAATGGGTTTTAAAAAACACCGCTTCTATTTAGGGCTGATTAAACCCCTGTGTCATGCACACACTCCGCTGACTTACCTGCCTCTCTGGTGGGGAGTGGGAGGGTGATCTGCCAGCGGGCAGAGTGGTCCCTGGGCTGCGAGGGGGGGCAGGGCAGCTGGTGCTTCCCTCCATGGCAGCTGCAGCCCCCTAGCCCAGCGGTACCAGCCCGCAGGGATCCAGCTCGGGCAGTCCCAGGGGGCACCAGAGCCACAGAGGGAAGCACTGGGCCCCGCGCAAAGCTCAGACAGACTGGCAGGCAGGCAGGCTCCAAAGGCTGGGGGGGAAAAAAGATCAGGCTCGTCACTTTGGGCAGAGCCTGCTTTCCTGGGCTGCTGCCAGACTGCCTGCAGGGCTTCCTGCTAAGCCTCTGAGCTGCAGAGAGCCCACTGCTTTGCTCCACAGCTGTAGTGGTAGCAAACTAAAACTCCTCAAAGGAGTTTTAGATTACTAAAAGTAACTAAAGTAATCTAAAACTCCTCAAAGGAGTTTTAGTTTGCTGCACCCCCAAGTCATTTAAGATGCATTACACCACCGAATTTCTTATAGCGGCTGGAATTAATGCGCAACACGCCACCAAGGCATACAAACACCAACACCATTAAAGCGGTGCAAAAGCATTCAGCCCGCTTTAAAGTGTCGTGTGCACACGCCTCTCATTTTGTCGACACACGATAGTCTCTAATTCCCATTACCATTTTTCAATCATTAATATCTTCAGACTCAGATTCTACTCACTTCCTCCTTTATTAAACCTTTTTTCAGTCCCCACTTTTTTTTATATTAATTGCTATAAATTTATCCTGTCTAAACTCAAAGTTTTTTAATCCTCTCTCCTGAATTCTACCCAAAAAGGTACTGATAAGGTCATTTTCCTCTTCTTTCTCCAACCAAGTCACCTTTTCTCCTGATTCAAATCACTGTCCCAGTTTGATCCGGCAAATTCAGATTCAGGATTCGGCCGCCAAATCTCCTCTGAATCAAACAGGCAGTGTCGACAGCACAGGCATGGTGGCGGCAAGCAGGGCTCCAGCCACACACACCCCACCCTCCACCATGGCTGCCTCGCCTGGCAAC